TTTTTTTTTTTTAAGGACTAGAGATACATAAAGAAATAAAACAAGACGCTAGTCATTGAGGAGCTGATTTCCTACACGGAGCATATCAAATAACAATAATAATGTAGAGAAATGAAAATAAGGTGTTATGGGAAAAACAGGTAAGGTAAGGAGGTCAGAGTGTTGGAGGAGGGGTTGTTATTTTACATAGAGGATGCTTGAACAGAGACCTAAAGGGAATGAGCCAGGGGATTCTCTGGAGTAAGACGGATGGTTGCCAGAGAAAACAGGTGCAAAAACTGTAGCGGAGCCTGGTTGAAAAATTCAAGGGATAGTAAGGAACAGGTGTGGGTGGAGGAGGAGTGCCAGGTGAGGCCGAAGAACCCTTACCACTTCCACCCCCAGCCCTTACCCCCTTCAAACTACTTAAATGTGTATGTTCATACAGTAGGCAGGTGGTGTAGAGTCTGTTGGGTCTTTGGGGGGCACTCAGACTCTTGTTTGGGGGGAAATGGGAAGCAACTGATGGGTATTGGAAGATGAGCAATTTAACTTGACATCCTTATCAAAAGAATCATTCTGACTATTGGAAACAAGATGGGGGAAAGGGCAGACCCCAGAGGGCTTGATTGAAAGTGGATAAAAGTCTATCAAAAGTTTTGCCTAATGAAGCCATTTGGAGGGGGGGTGTCTCCTGTGGTGGTTTTGATTGTATTCACAGGCTATGTGCATACTGACATTGCTGTTGTTCGTGGTCCTGGACTCTATGCACAAGGGAAGGGAAGCCTGCCAGGTCCTGCCATCGTCGCCATGCTCAGTTATGGTTCCAACAGCAACATCTAACTATTTCTATAACCTCACCCCCCTTTTTGTACAAATGATAACCGTTCTATAACCTCACCCCCCTTTTGTGTACAAATGATAACTTTTTAAATTTCTAACATATATGAGGAATGACTCCATATCAATCCATTAAAAGCTTCCCCATCCTGTACTGTATCTATGCAGCTTTCCATCAGATGGATGTACCATTGTTTCTGTTACTAATCTCAAACTGTAGTACTAAAGTAATGTAATGGAAAAGGATATCTCTGAAAACTGCAAATGAAAAGAAATTATAATCGAGTTCTCAGCCATAAAACAAATATCTATAAATAAGAACTATATTGATTATTTCCATAATGGAATTAGTATTCTCTTGATTATTTCAAAATTAAAAGACTTCTCTTAGCTGCATATCAGTGGTGATATTTTACAATGAAAACAGTACCAGTTTCTTTCAGTATATAAGGGATTCTCTTGGGATTCTGAGTGGTGTGTTAGGAGATTGAAAAAAACTCTTTCAGGTTGAAACAGTGGTAAATCACTATAAAGAATTCTGAAAGTATATAAGTGTTCTTGGAGACTTCCAAAAAGTGTAACTCACTGCAATGGAATAATTTATGCACTCAAAGTGTCTGACTTGCTTAGAGGTGAATGGAATTGTGTGTAATTACCCAGAAAATTCGATTCATGGACTATCTGGGTGATTTAGCATCCTTACTAAACAGAACCCTTACCACTTCCACCCCCAGCGCTTACCCCTTCAAACTACTTAAATTTTTCTATTGCTTGGTATAACAAACCTATGTTTCTTTCAATTACCAAGAAATCCCCCAAATTAATCATCCCTCTCTACCTTATATCTAATGAGTTCTGATTTAGTGGTCTGATAGAAATAAAATAGATATTTAGAGACTTTAAAGGTAGAGTTGTGTTCCTTTTCTGTTTCTTTTTCATTTATCACAAAGTAAAGTTGATTTGTGTGTGTGTGTGTGTGTAATTCTACAAATTTTATCACATGTATATAAAACTCATGCAACTATGACCAACCACAATCAGGATACAAAACTTATCTGTCATCTCATTAAAACTCCCTTGGGCTAACATGGGTGAAGGGAGACAGCAGACAGTGTAAGATGTGATTTATCAAGGGGTCATGAGGGTGGGAGAGTGTGTGAGGGAGGGAAAAAAGGGGAGCTAATACCAAGGCTTAAGTTGAAAAGAATGCTTTGAAAATGATGATGGAACATACATACAAACGTGCTTGACACAATGGATGTATAAGAGCTGTAAGAGCCCCAAAGAAAATTATTTATAAAAACAAAACAAACTACATTATGCCATTCTTCTAAAGTCACCTCCTACCTCCACATATAAGTTGGCAATCACTAGTATATTTTTGACCCAGTAGTTTTGCCTTTCTGAGACTGTCACAGAAATGAACATACATTAAACTTTTGAGACTAGTTTCTTTCATGCACCATAATGCCTATGAGTTTCAAGGAGTTACAGCTATCAATAATTTATTCTTTTTTAATTGTTGAGTACTAAGTCACTGGGAGTTGGAACCTATTTGATGATACCTAACAACATTCCACTATACAAATAAGTGTAAAGTCTAATCTTTCCCTCACATTGGTGGTTCTGAACTACTGACCTTGGAGCCCAAGGCATAACCCACTAAGCCCCCAGGAGGAAACTACATACTTGTCAGCAAAGGACTAAAAATATTATATTTTAATATTAATGGTAGATCGTTATGCCTGAAGCAGATGACTGATAAGACTCTCTACTATAAAATAGAAAGGA